TTTTTGTGCACAACAGTGCAACGAAGGAGTTGACTGAGACCGAATAAATGGCTCCTGGCCCTAAGACACTTACTACCTGGCCCTTTCCAGAACAGGTACCGACTCTGATGTACAAGCATGTGGTGAACATATCTGCCTTGCATATTTGAGAAGGAAGTTATGTCACAATTGAGAACTTTTTAGATAACCAAAGCCTACCCTTTTGTGCACAAAATGATTAATTTCAAAAATTGGGGGGAATCTGAGGGTGTAGCTCAGTATAAGAGTGCTTGCCTAGCACACTGGGGTCAATCCTCAGCACTGAAAAAAAAGGGGAATGAACACATTTTAGAAATGCCTTTTAAAATAAAATATGGAGCCAGGCATGATGACACATGCCTATAAATATCAGCCCTTAGGCTGAGCCAGGAGGATCACTGCAAGTTTGAGGCCAGCTTGAGTTATGTAGTGAGTTCAAGGCCAGCCTGAACTACATACTGAAACCCTGTCTCAAAAAACTGAAAGAAGCTGGGGATTTAGCTCAGTGGTCCCGCCGTCTGCCTCACAAGCGCAAGGACACAAGTTTGATCCCCGGTACCAAAAAAAAAAAACCTGAAAGAAAAACAGGAATAAATAATAGACTACAGTATGCAGAATATATATAGCTATTAATGCATTTATATTTCTCTCACTTTTTATACCCTGCTTATTATTATTGTTATTATTATTTTTTTCTTTTTGAGATAGGGTCTCCCTATGTAGTTCAAGCTGGGCTTGAACTCACCATGTAGCCCAAGCTGACCTCAAATTCATGGTCCTCCTGCCTCAGCCTCCTGAGTGCTAGGATTACAGGCGTCCACCACCATGCTTGGCTGTACTTTGTTTATTTTCAAAGAAAGTCTAGCAATGATCTTCATAGTTTTCAAGTTCTTTTGTGGACAACTTCAGTGGTCTTATAGAAACTAGAGGTACTGATCTTGTGAAGGAATAAGATGTGCAGGGAGCTGTATCAACGCCAGTTATCCTGGGTCGAATTCATCTGACCCAGCTGCGCTTTGGGCCTGAACTGTTTTTTCTCAGCACATTGCCTGCTGTTGACCACAGAGGCTGCAGTCTTGCAGTGCCGTGAACCTCTTCTAATGTGTGACTTCTCATCTGCGTAGCTGGAGAACTTTTGCTCTGATTGCCTCTATGCCAAGAATTAAGAGGCTGAGCCTCAAGGGATTGCAAGGCCGCATTCTCTGATGCTTAAACCAAAACCCAGCATGGGGACAAAAGCTATCCTCATGGGTGTGTCTATGTACTCATGATTTAAAAATCTGTCCATTGGTTGATAACATTTTACAGTGGACCCTTGAGTTACAACCGGCTTGACATACGGACAACTTGGGTTATGACCAGAATTTTGGTTTTAATTTATGACCAAAGTCTTGAGTTACGACTCAAATGCCAGTAGCTTGTGCTTCCAGATGGTCTCAGATACAGATTTAACGAGTTCTGGAGGGAACATGGCAGCATCCTTTCCTGTGTGGGGTTAATGAGAAATCCTGGGCCGGTGTCTCTCTAAGGACCCTGAGATCTGCCTGTGTACAGGAGAGAGACTTGGAAGGCTGAGTAGAGGAGCCTGAGCCTTCAATCAACTAACATTAGTTACAACCAGCTCTCTCAAAGTTCATAAGTCAAGGGTCCACTGTCAAAGCTTGGGAGTTTTTCTGATAAAACTCAGACTTTCTCACTTCCTTTAAACACCAGCACTGGAGCCCACCAGACTCCTGGTCCTGCCTGGTGTTACTGCTGGTCTGGGGAGGAAGCCACTTGCTTGGGGAGTGGGGGGCAGGCTCTCTCGCACCCACATCCCTCCCCTCTTCAGCTCCACACCACCTTGTTAAGTCTGTTGTTACAGCCCTGTCCCCGTTCTGCCAGCTTCTGTCTCTCTTTTCCTTACCTGCCTCCATTCAATCCAGCCAATAATGGGCCATTTGGTTGCTAGGAGACTTTTGTTTACATTGCCAGACAGAATGGAAGCCTTCCACGCAGAGTGGAGGGAGACCTTGCTAGAGTCACAAAGGACTCATCCCAGAGCAAGGCCTTTTCGAGCTCCACTGATGAAGGAGAACTCGTGATGTCTATCTTCCTGTGCCTGGCTCTGGCGTTGTTTGGCATAGTAGGGTGACCACAGTCTGGGACTATTGATTGTATAATCAAAGTAACTAGGCCAGAAGAGTTGGAGGGTTCCTAGCACATAGAAATGGTAGTAACCACTCTGATCTGATTGTTGCACATTATGTGTACATGTACTGAATGACAGTAGTGTACCCCATAAATATGCACAAGCAATGTATGTCAATTAAAAATAAATAAGCATTGCCTTGATTCAGTAGCCCAGTCATTGTTGGGCATGATAGTGCACAGCTGTAATCCCAGCACTTCAGAGGCTGAGGCAGAAAGAAAGATGGTGGCGAGTGTAGTGCCCACCTGGGCTATATAGTGAGATACTGCCTCAGAAAACCCCAAACAAAACAAAACAAACAACCCACTACCACCCTCCTAAAAAAATAGCCAATAATTATGCCAAGGGTTCCAATCCTGTATGTTGGTCTTCGATAAAACTCATGTAATCACTTCTAATTCTTCTTTAACACAGTAGGTTAACTACCGGGTAAAACAATCCGAACTGTATCTAAATGATTAGGATTGTGAAATTCCCAGCACGTAAGAAAATGATTAATGGTTGAAGAGACAGAGATGCTGTTTACCCTGCTTAGATTAGTACCCACTGCATCACACGTGTTGATTTATGGCAATGTACCCCACGAAGCTGATGCAAGGTGCATGGGAACTAAGAGCTCCTGCCAGCCCGGAAGGCCCCCCAGAGAGCCTGGCCCTTGTTTTGTTTTCATGTTTGGGCTCAGTCGATCACTTGCTCTGAGCTGTAGTCCTCCCTCTGTCTCTTGGTTCATTACCAGAGAGGTTAGCCTGGGGCATAGGGAGGCAGGCTTGAAAATGTCCACTTGACGACAGTTTTCAGATGTTAAACCGGTGGGAAGGAACAGAGCAGAAACAATGTCCTGGTTGGAAGTTAATAGATTAGTTCTCCTAATTACTTGGTGGGAGAAAATGCCTGTTTGGTTACCACAGAGACTGGTGAAACAAACCTGCCCACTGGGCTGGCCAAGGAAACGACATCGCTTTCTAATCTCAGTCTGCTCATCTAAAGCACCGTGGAGAAGCCGGGACACACTGCGTGTTGCTCTTCGTTGGAGTTTTGTTTGGATACTGCTGCTGTTTTGAACTATAAATTATGTTGCGGTCACCTTATGTATGCTCCGCTTTCACAAAGCATGATGAATGATTTCTTGGCATGTGCTTTGCACTTTCCATGCACCTGAGCTCTTTATTATAGGATTGGGGCTTGGAGCAAAGAGAAGGGGGAAACAGAAACCCAAAGACTGAATCTGCAAGGAAAGAAAACCCTCCCTGCCTCCCTCCAATTCTGCCTCTCCTGTTCTCTGAAGTCTTAGCAAATGTGTATTTTGCAGAAAAAGGATGTGGTTTAGTAGAAATGAAGGAAGGGAAGACATCAAAATGGGCTCTTCAATTGTTCCCTCCACATAGCCACATTGTGTGCATGCGTGTGTGTTTTTTTATAATTTTTTTCTGGGCCATTCTGAGTGGGGTAGGGGTCGGATGACAGAGCTGGAAAAGAGTGATACTTAGCCTCTGGGAATAAATCAATCCATCCATTTAAAAGCCTTAAGGTAAATGTTCTTTTCTACTACTAAGAACAGAAATCAAAATGTCATTAGCAGAGTCAGAAGTGTTGGACGATTTTCAAAAGAGAACATCAGTAATAATTATAGCCAAGGCTTACTGAATTCACACCAGGTGCCCAGATTCCTGCTAACCATAAGCAAGAGATTTCCTCATTATTTCTTCCTAACAGTCAGGTAAAATAGGAGCCACAGTTATTTGCTGTGTCACAGGCAGGGGGCTTGCTGCTTAGAGAGGTGGAGCAACTTTATCATGGTCACCAATGTGGGCTAGGGCTTCAGCATTGTAACCGAGGAGGACCTGAGGAATGAAGGCTCAGGTTTCTGCCAAGCTGAGTGACTTCCAGAAGAGTATTTTTATTGCCCTCAGTTTCCTCATCTGTACAACAAAGGGGTTGTGTTTGGTGATCTCTAAGATCTCGGCCAACTCTGGCAGCTCCCCAAATCAGCTTTGGTCACCTGTAGTCCCCAGTTGCCATTTTACAGCAAGCTGTGGGAAGTTGGCGGGCACCGGGCGGGGGTAAGGAGGAGGCAGGGAGATTACTGCATTATGGGCCCAGTGCTTTCTGACTGGAGCAGCCCGTCCGGTTGTCACATGAAGCCCAGGCAGCAGGATAACCGGCTGACTTTGGGAAAGGCCCACTTGGAGTGGGTGTCTGTGGCTGCCATAGTCAAGCTCTTTGCTGAAACTGTTGCTTTTCCCTTAGATGTCTCCTTAGGGCTGGATCAACCCCCTCACACTCCTTGTGGGCTGCAGGGCGGCTTGTGACACCTGCACAGGTGAGCGCCCCAAGCCCTTGCAGTGTGGCCCGACCTGCTCTTCCTGGCTGTGGGGAAGAAAGGCTCTGACTGATACTTCCAGGAATTCTGCCCCAGCCCTGAAGCACTTGCTCTTTCTTTCCACAGCACAGGAAGGGGGAAAGTAGGTGGAGGCCAAGACGCCTCTGAGTTTTATGAGGTAACCTCCTGTCTGATGGCTTTCACAGAGACTCGGGAGCCAGTCACTCGCCCATTACAGATGATCCTCCGTCAACAGTGCGGGTCACTTGAAGTGCTGGATGAAATGGGAACCAACTTGTGCTCCCAGGGAACAATGACTACACACTTCTCTGACCTGTAGATTAGGGTGTGTTACTTGGTGCTCTATCATCAGTGGGGCAAGTCACCTTCACTTTAGTTCCTTCTTCGCAGGCATGTAGATGCTGTGTCACACCTCAATTGCCTCGAGCTCGCCTTCTAAGGTCTTATTCCTTTTTTTTTTTTTTTTGTGGCTGATGATCTATTTAGAGGTGTTGCAAGGGCATTTGTCATTATCTGGTGTGTGTCCAGAGTCAGAGATAACACTGAAATGAAAAGAGGAGACAGAGAAACCAGAAGAGAAATAAACCCAAAGGAATAGACGCCCTAAATGCTGTGGTTTCCGAGGGCTGCTAGCAGGTTGTGGAGCTGGCCGGAAAAAAATAGAGCCACTTACTGCAGAAGACGTGGGGGGTGGGGGAGAAGGGCGATCGGTGGCAATAGATTGATAGAGGGAGGGAAGGTGGGTCGGGGTGAGCCCGAGAAACTCCGGGAGCAGACTCAGTCCATTCTGGAGAGCCTCTTTAGCTAGGAGCGCCACTTGTATTTCGTATGCAAATGAGGCTGGGGGCGGGGCGGGGCGGGGCGGAGCTGCGGATTCAGGTTCGGGCGGCTTGGGAGAAGCAGCGGCACCAGCACCTCCTGCCAGCCGGGAGGATGGACAGGAAGCCCGGGACACCGGAGCGCTGAGGACTCGGCAAAGCGAGCCAGGCCCTGGGAGAAGCGCGGAGATTCAAGACCAGCGAGAGAAGTCAATTCCGCCTCTGACACTAGTGGTTTCAGGCGCTGTGATCATTTCTTAATCTCTGAAGAGAGATTCTTTTCCCTGGGAAGTGAAAAATAATGAACTTTTGGAGGAATTGCTTTTTGGCTTTCACTGTGCTCAGCGCAGTTATTTTCGTGGTATTTTACAACAGCCACTTAGGCGTGCCAAAATTTTACCAGAGGCTGAACAGTTCCAGTGAAAGGACCTCCAGACTGGACGCCTGTGACTACGCCGTAGCCAAGAAGCCGGCCTTTGTGTGGGGAAAGCCATCCGTGTCACCTCTGGGCAGAGTCCCCTGCGAAGACTACGTGGTCCAGAGTCACTACATCACCAGGTCGCTCTCAGAAGAAGAGGCCGCCTTCCCTCTGGCCTATGTCATGGTCATTCATAAGGATTTCGACACGTTTGAAAGGCTCTTTCGGGCCGTCTACATGCCCCACAATGTCTACTGTGTGCACGTGGATGCAAAATCCTCAGTCGAGTTTAAAAGCTCGGTGCAGCGGTTACTAAACTGCTTCCCCAACGCCTTTCTGGCTTCCAAGATGGAACCCGTGGTCTATGCAGGATTTTCCAGGCTCCAGGCTGACCTGAACTGCATGAAAGACCTGGTGGCCTCCGAGGTCCCCTGGAAGTACGTCATCAACACCTGCGGGCAAGATTTCCCTCTGAAGACCAACAGGGAGATCGTTCAGTACCTGAAAGGGTTCAAAGGGAAGAATATCACCCCGGGAGTGCTGCCCCCCGCCCACGCCGTGGGGCGGACTAAGTATGTCCACCAAGAATACACAGGAAAACGTGGCTCCATTGTGAAAAAAACTAATACCCTGAAAACCTCACCTCCACATCAGCTGACCATCTACTTTGGCACGGCCTATGTGGCCCTTACCAGGGGGTTTGCCAACTTTGTCTTGGATGACCAAAGGGCCACTGATTTACTGCAGTGGTCCAAAGACACCTATAGCCCCGATGAACATTTCTGGGTGACCCTGAATAGGATTCCCGGTAGGTACCAATTTTCATTTTCATTTCTTTTTATGGGTAGATTAATATTTTACTCCTAATATTTTACTCCCCAAGGGACTGACTCATTTGAAATTATTTGCAACCAAATTTAAATACTTAGAAAATGATGACTGAGGCTGCTTTTAGAGACTGTTTCCTGCCAGCTCTGTGGTTTTGTAAGTGTGCAAGATCCAGTTGTCTAAGAAATCCCAGCAGTAATTCTGGCAAAACTGCCTTTGGTTGTGTATCACGTGGTTGCTGACTTTTAGCTCCGTCTTCTGAATTAATACTTTTCAGAGTCCTTCACAGACGTTTTTGGTAAGCACCCTAGAACATTTGAGTTGGAATGCTGCTGTTCCTCTCAGAGAGATGTTACAGAGCTTCACTGACAGAGCTGTTTGGGATGGGGGCTGTTTTTAAAGGACCTTAGAGTCCTCTTTGATGTTCACAAATTGTCACTGTGGTTTAAATGTCTCTTGGTCTAAGATCTGAACCAGTAGCCACTCTGTTCACTTGTCGTCAGTGAACGGAGCCTGATAGTTCATTGCCTAGAGGAGTAGGGAACACTTGAGTGGAAACACAGAGAGGTTCAAGCTGGAGTCCATCCAAAGAACATTCTTAATTTTTAGGTCCCAGATTTTTATGAGAAATTCATTTGTGACTTCTGGATTTTACATGCTGTGAAATCTGTGTGTGTGTGTGTGTGTGTGTGTGTGTGTGTGTGTGTGTGTGTGTGTTGATTTGGAAAAGGGTCCAAAGTATGCCAGGCAGCTGAAGGCAAAAGACAGTGACACGCCTTCTTTGACCAGAGCTGGGCTTGTTTTCAAAATTCTGTTTCTCATAGGTTGTGTGGTTCCTCGGTCACCCGGTACACTTGTTTCAGTATTGCAGCAGCAGGGCTGGGGTGACAGTGGCCCTGTGCTTGTGCTTGCAATAACTCCTGGGTCTTCTGTGTTGGAGCCTTATCGCTGGCACACTTTTGTGGGTGGTTTGAAGCTACCTTCATATCTGACAGTGGACTCAAAGCAGCAAGACATATTTAGATCCTAGATAACTCAGCATTCCTGAGAGCTGGAGTCACAGAAATCTATTTAGGGGCAAAAGCAGACAGACACATAGGCTGTTTATGTTCAGAGATGCTAAATTATCAGGTCACAAAGACTTGTAGGAGGGGGAGTGAACCCACATTTATCACAGTGTAACATGTGTCAGCCCTGTTATTTGCAAACACGTATCTTAAATACATGTAAGTATTCTGCACATGGCATCTGATGAGGTTTGTGTTGATACAGTTGTGCCAGATGTTATATTCTCCATCCGGATCCCTGCTACCCCCAGAGCAGACAAAGGTGGTGAGGCTGACTGAAGTAGTGTGCTGTGTTGTTCACACAGCTTGTCCAGGGCTACGCTAGGGCCTGATCTTGGATTTGAGGGGCCTGAAGCTTGAGCTCATTCCCTTGCAGTAGGAAAAGAAGGAATTCTTTCTGCTTTCCTGTAAGTCATAAGCAAGTTTCCCCGCAGGATCCCCAAGGGAGCAGAGGATGATTGGGAATAATGGGGAGGGCCATGGAAGGAAGCTCTACCTGGCCATTTGAGCTGGAAATGCAGGCAGCTGGGACACGTGTGTGTGTGAGTGTGTGTGTGTGTGTGTGTGAGAGAGAGAGAGAGACAGGGAGTGTGTGTGTATGTGTGAGAGAGAGAGAGAGGGGGAGTGTGTGTGTGTGTATGTGTGAGAGAGAGAGAGAGGGAGTGTGTGTGTGTGTATGTGTGCTGGAAGACAGCTGCTGTGCTAGAGGGACTGACGGGTGTCCCACCTCGGGCTTCTGTGTGGGCTTCTCCACATCCCCACCCGGCACCGGCGTGGCCTGCCTCCTGCTTCTCCCAGCTAGGGGACGTGGGATCAGCGCTTCCCTCACTGCATCAGACAGGTGGGAGGGGAAGCAGCCACACTGAGATGCTCAAACTCCTGGAGTGTGGGGTTTAGCCACACCCCCGGCCCTGCCTCATCTTCCAGGAGAGACTTTCAGGACCAAGACTCTGCTGTCAAGAAACAAAAGCAAAATTATCCCAATCTCTTTTCCTTTTGCTTTTCCTCCCTTCCCCTCCCTCTTCTTCCTTCTCTCCTCCCTCTTCCCTCTGCTTTTCCCCCTTTCTCTTCCCTTCTGCTTCCCCTTACTCCTCCCTCCCCTCTCCTCCCTTCCCCTCTCCTTCCTATGGGTTTGCAACCCCAGGCTGTACCTGCTAGATAGAAGCTCACCACTGAGCTATAATCCCAACTCTAAATCAGCTTTAAAAATATTGGAGGGACTGGAGTGTGAGGCAGAGGCAGAGCCCATGCTTAGCAACATAAAGCCCTGGGTTCTGTCTTTAGTGCTCAAAGTGAAAACTAAATGAAACAGGAAAGTACTGACAAAGCTCAACATTTTTAAAGTTTGCACTCCATTGACTATTGATGTTATAGCTTCCTTGTATAGTCTTCCAGGTTTGTTTGTTTTTTTGCATTTGTGAACAACACTCATTAAATACCAGGTTAAAAAATTTCAAGTGAATTTTTTATTGCTTCACCACAAACATATTCAGTAAAACAGTCCTTATTCTAGGTGCCATATTGTCTGTGAAAAATGAAATTCTGCAAGATGTGTTCTTTATGTAAATAGATTGTACACAGACAAGTAGAGATCTGTGTTTAATTCCTGAGCTCAACTTCATGTTGTTTTGAAGGATTTTGAGATCCAGAGCCAAAGCATTTTGTAAGACCCTGTTTCAGGGACCGTGTGTGCGATGCTGGTGACTGTCCAGAACTCCCTCTGAGGGAAGCTGCTGGACACTTCAGCCCCTGCTTGGAGCTCTGTGGTGGCTTCTCATTATCTTAAGGGACACTGCAGTGCAGTGTGTCATGACATCCATGACCTGAATGTCACCCGTCTCCCTACCCTGGTCCCTTGTTATTTGATAACTCATACTTTATAGTCCGACAACCACTTGGCCCTACATGTTTTTGCAATTTGTACCTCTTTTTATTTCTCGATTGTTTTAATAATATCTTCTCATAAATGCTGCCCTTCCTTCTATGTCTAATCCCTCTTCATCCTTTTTGTCCCACGATGAGTGACACCTCCTCCGGAAGCCAGCTCTGTAATACCCCTCCCAGACTTCTCCAGAGGCCACGGCCGCCAGCCCTGAGTTATAATTACCTACCTGTTAGTAAGCATCTCCTCTGTCACCTCCTCAAGACAGTATGCCTGATGGTTATGTGAAGATGAGAGGAATGTGTACAAGTGTCTTGGACCTGGGGCAAGGGTAATAGTGACAGTATAAAGAGTCAGTAAAATACTGCGTGGAGACCTAATTCCACCATATCCACGAGACCTTGTACAATTAGCAAGTGCCAGAGGGAATGTGAATTTTGTCTTGTTTTGTTTTTTGAGACAAGGCCTTGCTCTGTAGTTCAGACTGGCCTGGAATTCACCGTGTAGCCAGGCTAGCCTTGAACTCACAGCAACCCTCTTGCCTCAGCCTCCCTAGTGCTGAGGTACTGGGGTGTGCCACCAGGCCCAGCTGGAATGTGAATGTTAATGAGACAGAGTCATCCTTTAGAAAGACTGGTTCCCACGGAGCCACCCTGGGCCCTTCAGTGGAAGGTTGCGACACTAGAGGCCTTGACAAAGCCCCAGGCATGCGGGACAGGCGGCCACCTCCCGTGAGTTTGCCTTCCTCATCTGGTTTGAGTTTCTCTCGCTGTCTCGTCCTCCTTCCCCATCAC